ACTATTTACCCAATTTGGCCAAAGTAAGACCATCTCCAACCGAAGGTCCAGAGGGTTAGATGATTGAAAATAGCCCGAAAATTGTCTCTAACTGAGGGCGAGGCCAGAGGGCTCGTGGACCCCACGAAATCTGAAAGGACCAAAGGGCTAACCAACTGGCCTAATCCAGCCAACCAGCCCTGGGCTAGGCTGGATTTTTTTATTATTAATACATTTTCTATCAGATATATCCGACAGTATTGTAGTTATTCCTGTTGGTTATAACTTATAGGAATGGTAGGCCTTTTTTTTTTTTACAAAATTTTTAATTTTTTAAATTCTATTTTTTTTTCCTATGACTTCCTAAGCCATTATACAACATTAAATTAAATTAAGTAACATGAAACAACATTAAACAACATGAAACAACATTAAATAACATTAAATTTAAGTTATAAATTATGTTTGACCTTATGATCCTCGATTAGAAACGATTTTTTATGACAGGGCTAAAATGAGCCATATGGTCATTTGACCCTCGGTTAGAGATAGAGGCAAATATGGTCATGTATTGTTCATTAAAATATTAATATCTTGGAGAACTAGAGGGTTAAAACGAGTCATCTGACCCTCGTTTGGTTAGAGATGGCCTAAGTAAATGAGCTGAGCTCGTAAGTTTAACAAGTGTGAGACATAAGGTAGTTTGCTTGTTTGCTGACACCCACGAAATTAAAAAACAACCACAGAAATAGAAAAATATTCACGTCATAATTTCAATTATCCTTTATATCTTGTCGGCTAACAAGAGATTTTTTAGTGTGACGGGCACACAAGGTGGTACACCACGTATCATTATACAAATGATGAGATATGTGTGTTGAAAAATTAATAACTTAAAAAATAAAATTTTTCACCACTTACATAAAAATACGTAGTATACCATTCGTATTCTCATCACAATTAAAATTTTATCTCTGCCAACGCCACCCTCCTAAATGCTCCTGATTCCCTCAAATCGCACCACGTGTCCCCACTCACGTTTTTCAAACTCCCTCCTTAATCCCCCCGTGACTCTATCCCTTCCCTCCATCTCCTTCATTCTACGCTCTTCTTAATAATTCTCTGTCTCTCTCTGTCGTTGGTCCGCTTTCAGAGTTTGTTGAGCAAAAGGTGGAGTAGAACCTCAGCCTATCCTCTCCTTCAAACAATTTCTTATTTTTAGGGTTAGGGTTTCCCCCAGATCTCACCAATTCCCATTTGATCCCCCCAAATTTCATCGATCCTTGATCGCATCCCTCATCGTATTCATCGTCTCTCCCTTTCTCTCCGATCGTCCCCCTTTTCGTAAATTATGGTCGCAAGCTTTTCCATGGTTTGCAGTTTCTCCGTTATCAAATCGAATTCGCTCCCGATCCTTTGTTCCTCTCACTGTTCCAGAAATTATAGGTTTTCTCGTATGATCCTGTGATTTTTTTGGTACATAAAAGAAAATTTTAGGGTTTTAATGGCGCTTTTTGTGTAAATGGTTGTTTATATGTAAATACTTGGGGAAAATTTAGGGTTCTCTGTTGAATTTGTGTGTAATTGTGATTGATTGTGTCGGGTTTGAATCTGAGGCTATGTATATTGAGGAACTGAAGGGAGGAGAAGTTGCAAGTGGGGAAAAAGGGAATTTGTCCCTTGGAAATAGAGATTTTGATAGCAGGAGCATCACACGGTCCGATGCGAAGCGGGTTTTGATCGGTGCAGGAGCTCGTGCGCTGTTTTACCCGACTCTGCTTTACAATGTCATTAGGAATAAGCTTCAGGCTGAGTTTCGGTGGTGGGATAAGGTTGATGAGGTACAAATTCATTTTATTGTTCTATTTTTGTATTTATGTATTTGTCATGTGTATAGATTGGTTTCACTTGCCATATAGTATATACGTTTAGGTGTTGGGTTTGATTTAGATTCCGAGTTCGATTTGATAGCTCTTACGAGTACTTTATGTCTGTGAACTTATCTCTTATTAATGTAATTCATGAATGGGGTTTATGTGATTCTTTGTGTGCGGTGATGTTAGCTTGGAATTCTTTTCTTCGCTGATAGTTAATGTAATAATGTAGACCCAGTAAATTATCTTCAAACAAAAAATTTTGCTTATGTAAACATGTGGCTTTTTCTTCTGCGAGTGTTTATATGATCTATTGTTGATTTTTTTTTTTTTTCGTCCGTCTGAATGCTAATAATTTTATTTCCAGTTTGTATTGTTAGGTGCAGTTCCATTCCCTACTGACGTACCTCGCTTAAAGGATGTCGGAGTTGGTGGAGTCATAACACTTAATGAGCCATACGAGACTTTGGTTCCAACATCTCTTTATCATGTTAGTGGTTTTCCTTGTGGTCATGTTACACCCCAGAATCATTCTTGAGATTTGTATTGTGAGAGTTCACTTGCTTTTGGAGATTAGTTGATGCATTTTTCTCTCAGATGAAATGGTGTTGCTGTTTGTGAGGATATATTTTGTTTTTTGTATGACATATTTAATACCTGACAGGTTAACTGGTGTTTTCTGTAATATTGTGTATTAATATATGAATTATGTGGATTAAAATTGACTTGGTTCATGTCTGTACTGGACCAAAACTTGGGGATTTGTTTTATGTTTTTCTTATACTTTATGTTTGCAGTCTACCCTATTTCCCAGTAGTTTATGTTACCATATTTTTATGTGTTTCTACTAAATTTGTGGCAGTCTCATGGCATTAACCATCTGGTGATTCCTACAAGAGACTACTGCTTTGCACCATCACTTGATGATGCATGTCGTGCTGTAGACTTCATTCATGGTAAGCATTCTTGGAACCTGATTTGATCATCTTGGAAGGCCTTTGATATTGCATGACTTAGCTCAAACAAGGCATGTTTTTAAGGCCTTTGATATTGCATGACTTAGCTCAAACAAGGCATGTATCCATGCCATATTCTGTTCTTGGCTAGATACGGTTGACATGTTAGGAAACTTTTAAAGCTGAATACAATCATCCAGCATAAGTCTAATATGCAAGGGCCCAGGGCGATTGTGAGGCTGTCCTATATTTTTTCAGTGTAAATAAGTTATGATGTATGGTGGTGGTTGTCGAATATTATAGACCATCTAACCTGCCTCGTGTTTTATCAGTCAGAATTTTAGAAACTTAAAAGAGATGATTTTCATTGACTCTTTTTCTTTTGGTCATTTTTAAGCTGCTTAGTGGTGTTTGTTGTTGAAATTTACTCTTTAAGGGTAAATATAAAAAAATCATTTGATTTATTTCATCTGTACTTGTTTAATTTTCATTAAGGACTAGGAGGTTTAGTGTCAAGTCATTATATATATATATCCTGGGATCGATCTTGTCATTTTCGTGTAAATGGTTGATTGTAGTCTAGGATAAGATTTTGTTTTTTCTCCTAAGAAGACTGTTATCTGATATATTTCTTTGTCATTTTGGTTTTTGTCATGAAGAAAATGCATTAAGTGGACAGACAACATATGTTCACTGTAAAGCTGGACGGGGGCGTAGTACGACCATTGTTATCTGTTACCTGGTTAGTACTAGGCTCTGAAATTACCAATAACTCCGAGGATTGCCAGCTTTACTGATCTTTTTTTAATTTTTAATTTTTTTTTAATTATATATATTTTTATATAGGTCCATCACAAGCAGATGACACCTGAATCTGCTTATGAATATCTAAAGTCAATTCGGCCGAGGGTGCTTTTAGCCTCTGCTCAGTGGCAGGTAACTTGTACAACTTATCTGTGATTTGCACTCGCATTGGTGGCTAATATGTCTCGCTGCTGTTTCATGCCTTTTCCTTCTGTTGGTCCTCCTGGTGTAGTGAGAAACATTGTATTTACATTTTTGTTGTTAAATCAATATCAGTGTGCGAACAATTTGCTTATAGTACTAGATTTACACCTGATCTGTGGCATGATCTAATTCTAGCCTTGAATTTGACTTTTCCTGATCTCCTATTTGATGGTTCCTTTTTTCAGGCTGTCCAGGACTACTACTATTTAATGGTGAAGAAAGCTTTTGTTTACAGTCACATGCCAGATCTGATGATGACACCGCTTCAGTCTGCTTCCTCACACAATCTAGTTGCATTTGATGAAGGCTCTGTGGTAGTGGTAGCAGAATCAGATCTTGAAGGATATGATGCGAGTTTCCAGTCTGGCACCGTGGGAAGTGAGATTTGGGCGGACTTAAGTGTGGTTTATCGGGTGCGAGTAGCCGGTCAGGCAGCTCTTGCAAGAATCTCATGTATGTGGCTCCGCTTCGGTGCCCACCAGAAGATGTCAGGAGAGAATTCGGGCAGGAGGGCTGATCGTCTGAGCGGCATTAGTGTGGATATACAAGTCTACTGAGGCGAAGCCTTAGAAAATGCATACAAGTTGTTTGCTAAGCGTTCTTTTTCTTTATACTTTCTCGTACAGAAAGGGGGAATAATGTTACATGAGGCCGCTCTAAACTGCGTTTTCGCCCCCTTATATAAAATTGAGTCAGCTACTTGTACCTTGAATCGAAATGAAAGAAAGTAGTGCATTTTGGTTCAATTATATAGTACAACAACAACAAAGCTTTTTCCCACTAAATAGGGTTGGCTATATGAATCCTAAAACGCTATTATGCTTGGTTATATGTCAAATCTTCCGTTCGATTCAAGTACTTCAAATTTTTTCTTAGAGTCTTTTTCAAAGTCTTCCTAGGTCTGTCTTTATCCTTTCAGTCCTTTCAGCCCTAAACCTCTGTCATGTAAGGTTCAATTATATAGTGATGCATAAAATTCACTAGAAAGTGATCTGTCTTGTATTCTATTGGAGATATAGAATATATCATCTCTCTCCGAATTCAAGCAAACAAATGCTGCCTCGAACATTTATTTGGTAACCAAATTTAGTAGCACACAACACACGTCCGGAGTCTGTAATTCAAGTGGTTTAGAGCGATTCCAGTGAGGCGTAAGGCGTATGCATGCGGAATATCAAGTCAGTTTTTATGCTGAACGCAATTTTATTTACCAAGATCAGTCCTTGCATAATTTTGTACAGAATAACATAACCATATATTAGCAGGGTTTCAGTCACATAGGCATGGAATAAATTGCAATTATTGTACAAATAAATCATCCCCACCCACAGACCCCAGTGTAATTCTTGATTTGGTAGTTTGAGTTACCTAGTAATTAAGCTTCATCAAGGCTGAGGGAGTGACTTGTCCTATGTGAGCCCAAGAAGTTCACTGAACAAATTCTTGACTGGTAAGGGCCACCCGTAAGACGACCACCCTTCCGGTACATCTCCAGTTGATGCTCGCTCTATCATCAAAATCAGGCGTTACTTGCATTTTCTCATTGCTTTCCACAAATCCAAGTTCAACTCCACTTGCCCTGGTATAACTAGCTTTCTTGTTTCCATCCATCATCGACGCTGAAACTTGCAAGTAGGGCACCACGTGCTTTTTCATGTCGCTGGTGGAGATTCCGAGATGACCTCCTGCAACGCTAATGTACATGACCCTCCCAGCTTCATCCAAGTTTCTCAAACCGATCCAGTCCTCAGTAAACAGATCGGTCTGCATAAAAGTGAAAGCAAAGAAGACGCGTATGCTTAATTGTAAATGCAAATCTTCTAATGCTTCAAGTCTCTAACACTAGTATTAGTATTATTGTACTTCTGTTACCTGTTGTGGACTTAAAATTGATTTGAAGCTCTCATCTTCGTAATATCCAAACCACGCGGTCTCCTTTGGTATCAAAACAGTGTCATGCTCAAACTGCAGAAATACGAAATTAACATGGAAATAATGTATATGCTTACTTGGCTAATTATTCTGAGGATCTAAGAAATGTTACCAAAGAAATATATTTTTCCAACTTACCATGATAAGCACCAGGTTCTGTAAGCTACTAAACCTTTCCTTGTACGTCGAATTTTTCTCACCAGGGAGTTCGTTGTTGAGCTTCGGAAGAAACTTGCATTTCTCTTAATCAGACATTGCCTGGAAAGAAACTGTTGATCAGGATGAAGCAGACAGCTGATTCCGTCAAACTTATGATTGCAAGGTTACTTGATATATTTATAACATAGGTATATGAAGTAAAAACACCTCATTAAATGTATCGAATGTTTCATTTCGAGCCACTACTCACATTTGGTAATTTAAGATAACCGCTGGGAGCCAAGTGTTCCTGCATTTTCAGAATCACAATCAAGATAGTGAGGCCCCATCAGAAAGGTTGACTATCTTTAATGGTGTGCACAATCCATCTTATGAAATTGTATTTCATATGAGAGTAGTTGTTTGACATTGTTTGAAATGTCAAGTCCTCAAAATTTTATTAGGACTTAATTACTATGAAATTTGCTAGGAAATAGACTTCCCCCACATTTAAGGTATTTGAAAGAAGGTCTCTAACCTCTTCACACCTTAAAACTCATTCATAATAAGAGAATATTACCTCTCTTACATGCAAATTACTCCTTCTAATTTGTTCTTTGCCTTATTCGCAAACCATCATAATACATGCATAAGATTATCCCCTACAACATTTTGAAGCCAATATGCTTCCTATCCGGATTGGAATGTACTTTCATTTGAGGATTTCGTTATTTAAATGCATGTATTTCCACCTATGTACTTTGCCTTCACATTGTCAAAGATTCAATTAGTTAGTATTATTGAATTCATCTAGTACATATGGATGCTCTTAACTACGAATAACACAACCCAATGGCTATGTACATTCGATTTATATGCTTACTTAATAAGCATCATCTTGTCTAATTCAATTATGTATGCTTACTGAATAAGCATTATTTCCATGTCTAGTCATTCCTTTTATGAAAGACCCCACACTTTAACTCATTGGTGTAAGCGAAAAGACACCTTCTTGGTGATAATTAAAGGAAATCCTTTATTCCCTCATGTCCAATTAATTGATAAACTCAAATGTTGAAGAAACCCAGAACTAAAATTTAAATATGGACTTTATTCCATAAGAAACATATCAGTTTGGCAATCCTGTTCATTTGCTCATCTCACTTCTTTCTCCGGGCTTTGTCTAAAATGAGTTCATCTCTGCGCAAAACCAAATATAGGATTTCGTGACAGCAATATCTTCAGTGTATCAAAAATACCTTATTCATAGATGAGCACCCACCAACCCACGTACATATGCTTTTCTCAAAAGCTTCAACTTCAAGGTTGGTGGTGACTGATCGGAGAGGTTATATTCACTACCAAACGCAGACACAGTTCACATGACATGCCTTTCCTTAGAAGTTTGGATCTCGCATGGCAGATTCATCTTTCCATTTTATTTTTATTTTTCCTTTCACCACCTTACATGGGCAAAAAGGATATTCCCAATGATATGCAGAAACCGATCGACCAAAATTAAGCTAGGGATTTAAGCACTTAAGCCTAATCCTGGCTTCAATAATTTTCAATGATGCCGCAGTTTGCATCTTCCCTATCAAGACATGATTTGTTTGGATCATGAAGCCACTCAATCTTCCATTTTAAATAAATGGATTCTCTGAACCAATGTAATACTGCATCAATTATATAGGTGCAATTCCTTTCTGCAAAAGGAACTTTCCAAGAACTGCTATGAGTTGGCAGAACCACATCTAGCATCCAATTGAAACCCAGTCTACAACAATGGTCGTTCTGCACTTGTAGATGATACAAATTTTTAAACTATAAAATTGCACTTGGTAACCAACAATTCTCTTCTACAAAGAGTCAACGTCAAACATGGTTTTTTAGAAGGATCTCCATGATATGCCTCACATAAGTAAAATCTTACTTGTAAGGATATGCATGTGTCTATGCGGTGTCAACCAGCAGTCATATCGGTTCATCCATAAATTTGCAAACATAACCGATTGGCATTACAACGGTAATTGATTGTCATCACCAACGGTAACCGTTTGACACAAAGATAACTCAAATTATATGAGGGTCTTTAAGCATAAAAGCATACAAATAATATTACATCATGGCATTTTCATCATGCCTAATTATGCGATTAGCGACAATTTTGCAATATATCTTCATGTTTCAATATCTCAATTTAATTCTCACAACCATATTTTCCAATTATTGCAAACTTGGATAAAAAACCTTCTATCTTTAGATTGTTGGAGCAATATTAGAAAATATGAAAATAATAAAAGAATTTCAATGAAAGTATTCATAAAGAAAATCACAACATCAATTATGTATGAGATTAATATAAACAATTAGAGATAAAATTAGAAAAACTGACAAACTTGGAGATTGAGGCTTGCATAAATGCAATGTCTTAAAGATAGAATTTCGCTCCTACTCTTGTGCTTGTAGTTCGATAGGCGTCTATCTCCCAGGATTCAACAATCTATAATCCGAAGTCAAAGCACTTCAATCTTCGGACTCTGGCGAATTTTATATATTCCGTACTCTCAAGACACGACTCGGAATTTGACACACGAATCATTTGAGAAACAAAGTGGGGAAACCCTATTTCTCAAGAGTAAAAATTAACTCTAATTTTCTATCTTTTATACCAATGGATTCATGGGTTTATATAGAATCCAATTTCTACTTATTAAAGAGATGTAACTTTTCATCTATAAGTATACATCACTTATCAAGGGAATACACCTAAACAACATAACCTTTCTAAGAAATTGGTTAACACTATTTTTCATTCAATTATTAAAATTATATATTACAATATTTCATATTATAATATATAATTTCTAACAAAAAGTTGGTGAAAAAGCTGGAAGGAACTCTTGAACAGAAAGAGAAGAGTTGAAAAACCTAAAGAAAGACAAAATGGAGATGATCAAGGAAATTCAGGAACCAAATGATCAGTTCAATCAAGGGAGTCGGTGCACCAGAACGCAAGACATAAACTTGAGGTATGTCCGAACCGAAGCAACCGTATTTGACAAGTCCAGAGAAAAACACCGTAAAGAGGGAATTAGATCCGGAGTTTGAGTATGAACAAAAAGGAAAAAAGAGAAGGAAAGTCGCGGAGGAAATAAATGAAATAGAAGGAGAATCTCCTCCCTGATGCAGTTGCTGCAGCCATTTTTGGATGAAGTTATTATATCAGTTGAGGAGGGCGTTGAACCTTCCTAGCAGTGTGTCTGCATTTATTAATTAATACCCCCTCCTTACAAATTACTGCATTACATGGACAAATTCTTGGGTGCGAATGACCAGACCACATGAAATATAAAAGCGTTTGGACTAAAGAGTTCCTCCTATGTGTATGTGGTGTAGCTGGTTTTCACTTTTGATCATCCCATGTAAAGAAAAACTCTTTCCTTATGTTTGCATGTAGTTCCACTCTATATTTATTGTTGTTTTATATTGCGTGGTTCTACTTCTCAATTACACCGAGGCTTTTATGATAAACTTCCACACCGTATAGGTGCAGTTCCTAAAATATTACTTGGAGGACAATGTAGGTGACACTGTTACGAGGCCTTTTGTGATAAATCTCAACACACCAATATGACTCATTGAAATGAATTGGTAGCTATTTATTGCAGATTAATGAGAGCTTACAAAAATTGTATAATACATACATTACTTGCACTTGGCTTGCTGCCATTCTAACTTTGAACATTCAAATAAACTAGTCGTTGAAATAAAATCTGTAGCTTTTGAAAGCTAATGAATCGATAGCAATTAACTACCATTAGTCGTGTCAAATCTACACGAAAATAAGAGAATTGGACGCAAGCCGAATATTGCTTTGTCTCAAAGGGATGGCGCGTGGAATCTTGTGGTTGCCAACGAAGAAGGGATGCTTGAGTGCTTCAGCAGCAGTAGGCCTTGCGGAAGGGTCCCAAGAACAAAGGGAAGAAATCAGCTGGACGGCAGATCTGCTTGCGGAAGGAACCATCGCAGATAGACCAACACTGCGAAGTTGTGGAAACTCATAGTTCAAGTTTTGGGCAAGAATATGTCCCTCTGGCCGTGTATCCCAAGTTGGACTGCCAATGACGCTGCAAATCTTTAACATCTGATCATCAGCACTTTGACCGGGAAACAGAGTCCGGAATGAAAACAGCTCTGCCATGATGGCGCCCATTGCCCACATATCGACCTTAGGACCGTAGAGGCCTGACTGAAGCAACACCTCAGGAGCTCGATAAGGGCGAGTGGTGACGTAGTCTGTATAGGGGGGGGGTGAATCGATCTCCATAGCAGAACCCAAATCTGCAATCTTGACGACACGGGAACCATCGTTAAACAAGACGTTAGCGGTCTTCAAATCACCGTGGAAATAGCCGTTTCTGTGCATATAATCCAGGCCATGAAACATCTGAAAGCAGATGCTTCAAACTTCATCCTCGGTGAATTGGTTTTCCTTTTGACCATGTGATCAAGGAGACTGCTCTGCATATACTAGAAGACAAGGAATGCAGAATCGCATTTGGTGAAGATACCCTTCAACTGGACAAGGTTGGGATGCTTGAGCTTGGAAAGGGACCGAACTTCCGGTAGTGTTAGACACTACTCAATGGAACTGAATCTCTCCCTCAGATACTTGACTGCAACAATTTTACCCGTCGGTTTGTGCTGCGCCTTAAATACAGTCCCGAAAGATCCACTGCCTAGTTCCTCAAGAACCCATGATCAGGTCGTAGCTCTTAAGGAACTGAACCTCAAAAGCCAAAGAAATCTGTGACAAAATTCAGAGCGTTTTCGCCTTTTCGAAGATGAAAAACGAGTTTGGCGTGAACCCAATTGAGAGAACTACTTACAATCTATGAGGCAAACCCCTCCTCGAATGTATGATCAGTGATGAGGGTTTTGATCTCTGAGAACAGCAGACACGAAAGTTGAGAGCTTTTGAGAAAACGAGAGAGAGAGAGAGAGAGAGAGAGAGAGAGAGAGGGGCAAGTTTCTAATTGTGGTATGAGAATTGGGAAATTAGGGTTCCAATTTAATTTATTGATTGATTAATTTCATTATTGCCTGATGGAATGAGGAAAGGCGGGAAGCAACACTCACTCGTTCAATTGGTTTCGTGGAACGCAAGCAATCTTGACTACTCTCCTCACAGCAGTAGGAAAAGGAAAGGGGCTTTTTCGTCAATTCACACAACCCGGTTTTACTTTGGGCACACGGATTTTCCAACGGTCACGATTTTATAAAATCCGTTTTTTACCTGGGCCAACAGCTGTCAACGGTCCGATGGGCCGTTGGGCCCACAAGGATTATCCGCAACGGAAAAGGAGAGACAGAAGATAACAAAAACCCAACCCCCTTACCACTTCAATTGCTCTCTTGTCTGTCTCTCGTGGTCTCTGTGGCGCTATGAAATTTCCCAAAAGCAAACCCTAGCAGTCCGGCGGTTCGTCATGATCATCAGCCTACAAAACTCGCCCTAGGGCCTGTAGATCGCTGCCACTTTCACAATTTCACGGGGAATTCTCTCCGACGGAATCTGATTTTCTCGATTTCGGTGTGTCAGAAGCTTTCTTGGAGTTCGTGCAACCCAATCAATCGGCGATTTCGAAGCGACAATCCAATCAATCAATCGGCGAATCAAATCATCCGATCCGATCGAGTTTTCAACCAAGGTTTTCGGATTCTCTCAGACTCTTCCTGAAATTCGAACGCTTTGCATTGATAAGCGCAGAGAGAGGGCTTTCTTTAATTTCACCGAGATCTGTGAAATTCGATTCTGATTGCGGCGGTTGGCGGAGGAGGATTGGGTCGGCGGCGGACGGAAGGTGGATGAGCCTAATTTAATTCCGAGCATCGCGTCTGTTCGACATCGGTTTCTGAAGGATTGGAATCGAAAGAGCTGAGATTGGTGCTGTGGTTGGCGGCGGCGAAGAAGCTTCGGAAAAGCTGTCAATCTGTCTCTCCATTTGCGGTGGTTTGATTGTTCGATCTCAGTAGAATAATTGAAGAAAAAAAAATGAGCTTGAACTTTTTGTACTGTTTGATTTGATAGTAGTTTTTTCTTGGCCTTGAATATAAGGCCGTATAGTTTTATCGGCCTTTGATTATCGTTCTCTTCAGGGAGATTGTTTGTTCTTGTTTGTGGTGTTATACATATTTCATATTTTGGAAGGAAAAGAAAAAAGGATATTTACCATGGCGGTGTATTATAAATTTAAGAGTGCAAAAGATTATGATTCTATTCCTATGGACGGCCCGTTCATCGCAGTTGGTATTTTGAAAGAAAAAATATATGAATCCAAGCACTTAGGGCGGGGTACTGATTACGACCTCGTCGTCACCAATGCCCAGACCAATGAAGGTTGGTTCTGATTTAGTTATTACCTTCTCAACATGTTGAAATTAATCACAGATATGTGTACTAACATGTTGTATGAGAGTGTGTTTGTCTGATTGAGTGGTGAAATCGTCGGTCTATGGTTTTGGGGATTTGTAAAATTGTCTTTTGGGGTTTTTCTCGAATAATTAAGATTAGGGATTGCCTTGAAATTCAAGATAGAGTGACTTTGTATGGTGGTTTACTTTTGTCATTGAATGAGAAAAGTTCGACCACCACATTCTCTATGGTGAATTGAGTCAATCTGAGTGGGGACAGGTTGTGTGAGGTTGAAATCTGGGTACTTTAGGAATGGTTAATCTGACTAGAAACTTCCTAGGAATTGTGGGTTGTGATGTCGGGATTCAAATTTTGGTAGCTTTTATCCTTGCTTTCATGGATTATATCATTACAATATTTTATAGTCTTTACGAGCTATGTTTTGTAATTTCAGAGTATCTTGATGAAGCAATGTTGATTCCAAAAAATACGTCAGTTTTAATTCGCCGTGTACCTGGAAGGCCTCCAATGCCTATTGTTACTGATTCAGAGTACTATCTCAGATCCTTTAACTTCTTGTCTTTAGTTATGTTGCAAAATCCATAATCAATTTAGATGTTCTTGTGTTTAATGAATCTGTGACATGGGTAGTCCCTGTTTTGCATCTTCGTTGGAGTTATGCCATGTGCTTGGATAGGGTGATTGTGTTTCTTATGACCCCTAGGGCAGATTTCAAGGGTTGGTTAAGTTAGGCTATTTTTATTTCTTGTTGTAGGCGAAAGATGGAAGATAAGGTGGAGTACACTGAACCAGAAAGGACTAGCTTTCTGGCGGCTGAATCATCTGCCACGAAATATGTAAGTTTTAATAGCCACTTGATCATCTTTGGTTTTAACTGTGTGCTTATGCTTTGCTTTGTCCCAGACGTTTTAGTGATCTTTTGTTTATTATGGCTTTGCAGCCTGGTGATCCAGATTGGGATGATTATGGGGATGATTTGTATGAAATTCCTGAAGTGATGACAGTGCAGACAAGTTATCAGGCTCCGGAAGCGCAGCCAACTGATAAAGCTGATGAAGATAGCAAGATTAAGGCTTTAATCGACACTCCAGCCTTGGCATGGCAACAGTAAGATGCTTTCAGTTGCATTAGTGTACTGTGATATGATAATGAAAGGTTTCTGGTCACTAATGTTGGATGATCTTTGTGTTTTTGCAGCCAAGGTCCTGATGGTTTTGGTCCTGGTAGAGGTTTTGGCAGGGGTGGAAGAATGATGAATGGACGTGGTATTGGTGAGTCTCTTTAGATTATATAATTTTTATTTTTCGTAACATATCAGTGCTGATTGAATTTCTGCCTCTTTCTCTGTCAATTTTTCATAATGAAACTGATATCAATTTTCTTTGATTGAGGTCGAGGAGTAGGGGGCTTTGAGAGGAAAACACCTCCACAGGGCTATATTTGTCATAGGTGTAAGGTGCCTGGTATGTTCAAGTTTCCTTCTCCTTTTAGAAGATAACAGATGTTTTGTGATAAGTGATTAGATGAGGAAAATTCTGATATTTGGCATTTGTATGTGTGTTCAGGGCATTATATTCAGCACTGCCCTACGAATGGTGATCCAAATTTTGACGTTAAAAGAGTGAAGCCACCCACTGGAATTCCTAAGTCCATGCTGATGGCAAACCCGGATGGCTCATATAAGTTGCCAAGTGGTGATAAAGCTGTATTGAGGCCAAATGAGTAAGCTGATCTGCTGTTACAAATTTTATAGACGTATTTTCCATTTTTTTTTCATAAAAAACTTACGATTATCTTTGATATGGAAATAGGGCTGCTTTTGAGAAAGAGATTGAAGGTTTACCATCTACGCGTTCTGTTGGTGATCTACCCCCCGAGCTACACTGCCCGTTGTGCAAAGAAGTGATGAAGGATGCTGTGCTAACGAGCAAGTGTTGCTTTAATAGCTTTTGTGATAAGTGTAAGTTATGATGTAAATTTAATTGTATAAATTTTGAACTTCTAAGGGAAGAATTTCAACTTTTATCTCTTGGGATCTTTTGTGGTTTACCCTCATCTGGGTAATTTGATGAGGCCTGTTGATATCTTATTGTGTATCCTGAATTGTCGTACCAGTATGATTTACCATATCAATTTTCTTTGTTTACAATGGCTCATATGTTAATCAGGTATCAGGAACTACATTATGTCCAAGTCAGTGTGTGTCTGTGGGGCTACAAATACACTGGCAGACGATCTACTGCCAAATAAGACACTGAGAGATACAATCAATCGCATCTTGGAGTCTGGTGGTAACAGTAGTGCTGACAATGCTGGGAGTACTTTCCAAGTTCAAGGTTTGTTTTTCAGTGGCTTGCCTTATATTTCTATTTAGACTAGAACATTTTTATAATTACACTCATGATTTGTAACATTCAGATATGGAGTCTGCTCGCTGTCCACAACCCAAGATTCCTTCCCCTACAGTATCTGCTGCATCAAAAGGAGATGAAAAGCAGTTACCTCAGAATGAAGAACCTCCAAAGTTTCCTGAATCCGAAGATGACGTAAAGCCTGTTCTTCCCCAGCAGCAGATTTTAGAAAGAGTGAGAACTACAATAGTAGCTGATGCATCTGAAGCCACGCGTGAGTCAATGAGTGTGAAGGAACCAGCGTCACAAGGTAGTATTCCACTGGTTGAGGAAGAAGTGCAGCAAAGGATGGCTTCTGGGGATGCAGGTAATGTAGTGGTCTGGGTATTATTGTTCTCTGGTTCTATCCTTGTGCATAAGCAAGTTCTGTGTTACCTTATTTTTTTGACATGCAGGTGTAGGATAGATGTGTTGAGTAAATTATTTTTTCTTGAAAAGAAATCTGTAGTGATCTCTTATTTTTATTTTTCTTCATTGTATCTCCGTTGCAGGAAAGAAAAGGAAAAAGAAGAAAATCCGTGTGCCTGTGAATGGTATGCCTTTTCTCTTATTTTGTTTTTGTAAACATAGAGGTTTCTATTCAAGTTATCTGCAGTAATT